TGTGTAATACTGTAGAAAAATAGACATATAATTCTAAAAATAATTCTCTGGTTGTTGGTGCAGGCACGTTTTCAGAATCTCTGTTATATGTTACATACTGAGGAAGAGGGTATCAAACTTACACTCCCTGACATTGCCACCATTGCCAAAACTTTTTCAACACTCAAGCTGAATGGATCTGCAATAGATCCGGATGCCCTTGCTTATTTAGATTTAAGAACTACCCTGTGGACAACACAATATGAAATCTGATGGAACAAGACCATTGGAACAGTGGAACAATAACTGTGGACGGTTTTACTGTGTGGTTGTTGAGCTGTGGAGCCCCGGGAGATCGACTCCTCTGCCCCCTCAATCAATCTGGTTTAGAGAGGACAGGGACATGCTTAACCACTGGTGGCCAACATGCTCTATGTTGGATGTAGCATCCATGACCTGAATCTCATTTGAGGAGACCCACAGCGTCCAGGTAATAGAGCACAACTCCCGGGGTTGATAGATGATGAACATTGTGCTCAGACGAGAGCAAAATGTTTGAGTGCAGGGGAAAATAGCTTTTTTTTTTTCTTTTTTTTAAAGTTACAGTAATTCGGGCTGTGTTGTTGAGTGATTGACTGTTTTCAAATTGATGCATGCTCATTGGGGAGAACGGGGCCCCGGTGATGGGGATGACATGATGATAGTTGAGTTGCAGATCATATTCCGTGGCTGTCACAGAGGTGTGCGTGGCTCGTCTGGCTGCTGACATAGATTGAGTGCTCCCACCATAGATGGACACTGAGTCCGACACAGGGCCACTGATGGCTGACATATGTCTGATGATTGGAGCTGCTACACCAGAATTATTGATACATCCCTCTATGGATGTTACCCAGTGGATAATTGTCCTTTTTGCATTTGTCAAAAACATATTCATTGTTTTAGTTACACTTAAAAAATAATCTTAAAGGGTTATGCTGCAATAAAGCAGTATAAATATTGATTGATCATACTAAATAAAGGGCCTTGATAATGTTGAATATTTTTCTTGAGTACATACTTCTTACATTAAGCCCCAAACAGTTTAAAAAACATTATTCTTGTTATGCAGCTGATTAAAATTAGAAAGGACAAAGAATAAAGGAACAAATCCTGTTTCCTCTACAACTGTAACTAGATGTGAGCATGTGTATTTAAATGTCCACAATGAGTAAACCCAATTAAATGTGTTAACAAACAAGAAAAGATCCACTGCCGCTGGGTCAATAGGACCGAACTAACACACAGCATGCAAATGTAAAACTGTCTGGCTTCGGCATAGCCACTCGATATCATGCATATTGAGCTGGGCCAGCACCGTAAGCAACAGGTCAATAGCTGCTCTTTCTTGGCTTAGCTGGTTTCCCCATAGACAACCTGTTGTCCCCACTGAGTCCGCTTATCTCCACAACCCAATCAGATCACCATCCTCCGCTCCTTTACCCCGAGCCTAGCTACAGCTGATCGATAAGACGCAGAGTGGCTTGTGTTTTCAGTCCACCTCTGGGGTCACAGGTCACACTCCCATCCATCTGTGATGTCATACTCTGATTGTCTCATTTAAAGGTTGTTAATAATTCATTATAACCCAAGTCTGGAGAAGGAAAAAAAACTATAAGACGTCTCGAAAGAAGAGAGTGAGATGTGGTTGTTCTGGTTTTGAAAGAGCAGCAGAGGAAGTGACAGTGACATTTGCAAAGTGTTTGCTCAGTTTGGTCCGTGTTCTAATTGTCAATCCACATGTCCCCCGTGGGTGACAGGTAAGAGCCAGCGCCATCGCTCAAGATGCTGATCAGAATTACGACTACGCCTCCAACAGTGTGATCCTGCATTTGGACGTGGGAGACGAGGTGTGCGTGCAGCTGGACGGAGGGAAGGTCCACGGAGGAAACACAAACAAGTACAGCACCTTCTCCGGCTTCCTCGTCTACCCAGACTGAATCTAGTTATTACTCATGCAGGGGAGAGGAGTGGTTAGAGGAACATCAATACACACAGAGTAAAAACTCACACATACACAGACATGTATGTATGCAAATTCATGCAGATGCTCAGACATGCGCACACACGCACGCGCACGCACACACACACACACACACACAGAAATCAACACCACTTATACAGACACACTGAGATTCTGACAGACTAAAGAAAAGTGAATTAAGTGAAAATCCAAAATGAGTTGTGTGATACTGAGCCAGTCGTCATGAGCAACTGAATTTATTGCCGCCCATTGTGTGCAAACATGACTTTCAGAATATGTACAGTATGAGTGCACATAGAAATTGCACGTTGTGGCTCGAGAATATCTAAAATATTATAATGTGTTCCATATTAACTGGCATTGTGATAACTAGAATGTAACAAACACCATCAGTGTGATTGTTTTTTAATGCAATAAGGGTATCAAGGGTGTCATTCACTGGGATGACAAAACTGACAAATGCACACTTTATGCCAGTCTTCACTTACACATCTCCGCTCTCCATTTGAATGACCTCTAATCCAATGGCCTGTCTATGTTTTGCAGCTCGTCTTTATAAATTATTTTTTGCCCTCTGTGCTTCAGAGGGAATTACACCAAGCCCCTGTTGTAATTCTTTGGGAGAGTGCTGTTCAAAATGAAGCAATCTGAATAAACACAGGTGTTTGACCTATATTTCCTGTTCCCACGATGACACAGGATGGAAAGACAAAACAAGAAATATTAATATTAGAAGGAAAGAAAAAAAGCTTATAATATTTACGGGTGGCACATGAGTGTAATGAAGTTTGAATTGACAAGTGCATTATTGACAGTGTGTGTGTGTGTGTGTGTGTGTGTGTGAGTGGATATATAATACAGATACTGTGAGATACAAGGGCACCAAAAATGTGACAGCTGCAGTGTTTTCCTGACATTAATTGTTGTACAATACTTTACAGACATGTTGCTGTAATTACACTGCCATACCTACTTAGTACTTTATTTTTGAGAGACCCTGTAAAAGTACCATCATATGTATAAACACAGTAATCCTGGGACGGGCTGTCTGGTATGTCGAGCAGGTTGAGCAGACAATATTGCTATTAAAATATCTATACCTACCCTGTCTGTGTTCTTACGTGTATTCTGAAGTTTTGGAAATCAGGGCTGAATAAAAGTACGCACGTTAAACAGTCGCACATGAAGACACTTGTTCTAGTGTTATTTGCAGCAACCACCGTGGAGAGTTAGATATACAACATGTCTGCGTGGACTCACAGCAACAGAGATCGAGGCAACATTGGCTGAGCACAGCCACCGACTGCTACAACATGGATTTCCGATATGTCTTAAGACACTGTCTAAGACACAGACATTAATACCTGCTGTATTGATCCCAGCTTATAATACACCCAGGATCTACAAAATCCAGCCAATGTACATTTTTAAATGGAGCAATATAGTAATCAATTGTACAAACACACCAAAGTGGATAAATGTTGGATAAAGGCTTGCTCTTGTGGATCAGGGGTTTGAATCCAGGCCCATTTGTTGAAAAGCACTAGTAACAAGAAATGGATCCAGGGATTTCTTTATAAATATCGATACAGTTCTCCCCATTTATTGATATTCCAACAGTCATGCATAAATCATAATTTTCTCCTAAAATTTAATTAATCCAACATTTATTTTTTATAATCATTTACTGTACTGATTATATCTTTCACTAATGGTTAAGTCTATGTAATCAAATTTTAAAATAGTTAGGTAATATACATATATAAAGAAATTGGAAGTAATTGTGTAAGTGTTAAATTACAGGTAGACAACTGATTGTTTAAAACAAATGTTAATGAAATTATGATATTAACATGTTATGATCAATTAATACATTAGTTGCTGACTGACATAAAAACTACGTGTATTGAAATTGTGTTTTTTTTATGTTATAAACTATGGGCTATAAAATCTGAATAATATCTAAAATTGCTGTAACAGTTTGATACAAAAGTCTTAAGAATTATTAATACTATGTGTTCAACAGTGAATCTCACCATTTTATTCAAGGGGCAATCTTAGATCAGGTAAGAAAGAGAGACATCATCCTAGCATTAGGAGAATGAATCTCAAATACCTCTTATATTATTGAAAAACATGTAATTAGAGCGGAGTCAATGGTGTTCTAGACTTAAAGGATTTGGTGAATCTGTTGCTCCTGAGCTGAGAAAGTGGGATGCAGCTGCGCCAAGCCTGGGCCCAGCCCCCGGCTCTCTCTCCTGGCAGATTCCAGCTGAAAGTTAATTGGACGGGGAGAGGTCTGAGACAGGCTGCACTGAAGCCCATTAGCGATTCCCCTGTCGAATGCAGAGCCATGAGGATCACAGACTCACAAATAGGGAGGATTAAAATAATCAATAGCCTTGACTTCCATCGACCACACACACAGCGTAATTAGTGGACAATCTATTCAGTGGTGGACTATGACACCCTCCTGAACCTTATCCCACACACATAAGCCCCACACTCGGATAACTGTGGTGCCTAATGAGGGGGAATAGTTGCGGCTGCTAGTGAGGAAAATGAAGAAAAGGTCAGAAAGCAAACATCCTTCTGCAGCTCTAGTGTTCGCCATCAATGATGTCTTTGAAAATCTATGACATGGCCAAAAAAAGCAATAAAATCCATTATTTGTTAATATAAGAGAATGATTTTATTATGTTCTTTTAGATTTACAACTAGAGAGAAACTGATTTTGTCTGCAGTAACATGAGGACCAAATTCTACACATGTGGTTTGTTTTAAAAAAAAAATGTTCATGGAAACACAAAAAGCATAAACCCTCATATCTCAGTGTTTTTTTTTTTTTTGACAAATTGGCCTTAACAGGTTACAGCTGCAACACTGCCCTCTTGTGTCAATAAAAAAAGTACACATACATTTACCCTGCAAAAGTCCATTAAAGGCATCGTGTGCATTATTTTACTGAATCAAACAAATTCACTCAAAGGAATCAAGATAAGTTTTCAGGGAAAACATTTATTTAAATGCAAACAACATAATTGGGAGCAACAGCCAGATTATTTGTGGTCTTTTGATGGGAATGTAAAGGCACTTCTTAAATTAAATGTGGAAAACTAATCCATGGAATGAGGAGGGGGCAGCAATGTAGAGGCCAACTGCAAAAAGAGGGTACATGTGACGGTAAAAATAAAAAACAGTGGGATGATCTTTGTTTCTTCAACCGTTCATCACCATCCTGACCAGTTCTGTAAAAGACACAAGACAAAGACAACGTGAGTCTCATGGTCTAGATATTTACAGAGATCTACTCCAACTGCAGCAACTGGAGCTATGGCTGCCCTCCTCAACCAGGTTTGTGGTGAACCCGGGTGGGACATGCTGCATGTGGGGGCAGATCCCCATTTCCAGTCGACAAGAGGAAAGAAGGTTTGAACTGGGCACTAAGAGAAAGAGGTGAAGTAATCATCTCTATCTCCAATTCAGCCAAAGTATTAAGGCCATGTCTATGATCCAAGAAGAGCTGGTTAGAGAAGCCATCATCGCTGTAAGCTTTCCTCTAGTTGAGAAGCACAGAAAAGGGTAGGAGATCAAGGCAGCTACAGTCCAGTCAGAGTGGCCAGCTACAAATTCAGCTTCCATCAGTACAGAGGAGAAAACAATCAGCACAAGAGCAACCCATTGCAATTCTCTGGTTAGTAGAAAAGGGGACTGGTCCACTCTCCTGAAGCTGGTGGCTATGCTTGGATGTAAAACAATGTAATGAACTGAAACATCTAATTCAGTGTCTATGAAAACGAGCAGCACCTCTGACACCAACAGAAGAAACAGCCTATTTTAATAGCACTGATGACATGCAAATGAGATTAGAAGAGCTGCTTCAGGGCCGCAACACCAATCAGCTCAAACGACTCAACGGTGGCCACCAGGTTTTGCCTGAATGAGACCAGTCTCTTCCCTGCGTGTCCACCATCTCCCCATACAAACGGAGGGGGGGGGGGCGTCTCAGACACAAGCAGAGGGGCATGCTGCAGCCAGGGGCCAAGAGACAGGGCTGCAGGAGAGACAGAGACAGAGCAGCAGGAGGCTACGCATTGGTCAAAGCCTCAGGACTAAAGATGAGAGGGACCACCAGGGTTTCCCACAGGCACATACTGGTCAAATCTACTTTTGCAATAGTTCATTTTTTGCCAATATAAAAGGTGATCACTACAGCTGATTAGTGTTGGACCTAGTGGGGATTATTAAAGACATAAAATGCAGGAAAGCCTGGGGGTGCCATCTCATGTATACCCAATGCCCGTACCGGCCCTCAGCCTGACATGATGTGGCGAACAAACGCTGTGGAGGAAGAACAGTTAACAAACTGTCAGCAGTTGACATTTATACAGGGTCTTAGAGAGGACAATTAACAATGAGTGTAAAGACCACATTAGACAGTAGCTGTTAACAAAACAACATCCCATCATACCATCAAGTCATACATCACTGTTTAGTATTTTAAGTTCTTCCAAAGATTGAAAAATCAATGTTTGAATTTACACAAACTCAAAATACATTTTTCGTCAAAGCAGTTACACAATATTTCACATCAAAGCACACATTAAGAGAAACATATTTACTGATTGTTAGGGTTAGATAACTACTGAACTGGCATTTGGCGATAAGTAAAGTGAAATGACATATACAGGCCTAACACAGTCATTAGATTTAGCACTGCAGAAAACATCAGCCAGCTGCAGCTTCTCACTTTGAGCTGGTGCTGAGGGCCGTCACCAGTTAAGGTAACAAATGTGCTGGTGTCATTTCAACTATAACTAATGAACTGAATCTCCGGTCTAAATTAAACATGGGTGTTGTCAGTATATGTGCACTATGCACGCTGCTATCTTGTCAAAGATAGTTTGCTTGAGAAACAAACACAACACCACTGTATGACATGAGTGTCTCTGCAGTTTCAACAAATCCAACAAAGTGAGACATCTTAGTGTTTTGTGTCACATCACTGTTGGGGATTTTCCAAAATTAACTTTCATTTATATATAAAGAAATTAAGTTTACAGACCTTCAGTATTTGGATTAATAAGATCTAAAAGAATAAAGTGTTTGAGATTAACCTGTCTACATCTGATTTATTGTGTCAAATGGATATTCAATAAACATAAATAACACAATATATCAATTATCGGATCAGACCCAGTATTAGCAGATATTAAAGACGTGGATAAAAAGGTAATCAGGACATTAATAGAGCTCAACGTTAAGGTTTGTCTGCGATAGAGCCCAGACTTACACGTGTGAATGTGATATGTTGACACTTCATTGTTTATCTGAACTTCGCATTTGCAAAAAAACTGAGAAGTTCAAAATATTGTAATTTTTACCTAAGTACAAGAGACAAGTGCCTCAAAACGTTAAGTTCTGAGTAATTAAGTACTTTTTCCTATGTAACAGCGGAGACACTGAATTATGGTGTGCGTGTGTGAGAGTGAGTGAGTGTGTGTGTGTGTGTGTGTGTGTGTGTGTGTGTGTGTGTGTGTGTGTGTGTGTGTGTGT